AACAAACAACAGCGGCAGCGGCAGCAGCAGCAGCATTCACTCGATTTTAAATGCTATCTCTTCGACCACATAGAAGCAGAGTGTCGCACCTGCGGGGAAATGTTCTAGAAACGCAATTTTAAAAATAAACAAGTGTACCTTTCCATCTCACTATAACAAACGAGTATCTCGTTTCTGGCGTGTCAACTGTCTGCTAAGCGAGCATTGCTGATCAAATCCCAATACCCAGTTTCCTAACAGGTGTGAAACATTTTGTGATACGAATATTATCTTGTTTCGCATTTCTTACTATTCAGGTGAGCCTCACGCGTTTGGTTAGCTGATTTGGCTCCCTGATAGAACACCGTAATACTGTGGACATGGTCTTCAAGCTGACTACTTTGTGTAGATTTTTCGTTCCGAATAATATACTGTTCGCTGCCACGGCCGACAATTTTATAACGTGTCTGTACTATTGTTTTTTAACAATTGTGTTTATGTTATGAAAAAGAGAATTTTACACATACATCACTTGACCTTTTTGTCTCAAATTTGTTTAAGGGGTGGCATTTTGTTTAAGGGGTGGCATAAAGCAGTAATATCAATAATAACTCATTATTTAAAAGTGCCAAGGAGAGGAAAAAGAAAACCATACAAAACAAAAAAATGCAAGCTGTCTGTTAATTCAGCTATAGACATTGATCCTTTATTTTTGTTTCGACATTAGTTCGATAAGCAATTAAATATTTCTGGACCACATTTGTCCCACGTTCTACCTTATAAAATGTGTTAGTCTTTGTGTGAGTGAATGTATGTATTTATATGTGTGTGTGTGTGTGTGTGTGTGTGTGTGTGTGTGTGTGTGTGTGTGTGTGTGTGTGTGTGTGTGTGTGTGTGTATGTATGTGTGTAGGTCTACATGTGTGTATGTGTGTATGTGTGCTCCCGCGTTCCTCTGTGTGCTTGTCAAAGATAGAGTGAGCGAGAGAAAAACATACAGAACGAGACAGATGAGAGAGAGAGAGAGAGAGAGAGAGAGAGAGAGAGAGAGAGAGAGAGAGAGAGAGAGAGAGAGAGAGAGAGGGAGGGAGGGAGGGAGAGAGAGAGAGAGAGAGAGAGAGAGAGAGGGAGGGAGGGGGGGCGGGCTGATTGGCAGACCGACAGTCGAATAAACTAGCAGAACTTGAAAGGAGGAAGAGGTCACAGAGGGGCCATGAAGACTAAGAACAAAAGAGACAGATGGGCAGACAGACTGACAGATTGCCAGCATCTCCGTATTTCAGTTTCTCTCCCTCTTCCTTTTTCTGTCCCTGTTCCTTCCTCTCTCCCTGTTGCTCTTTATTAAGTCAGAATGGATCGCGCTGCAAACCCGTATCCCACACGACAAAGAGATTTTTGAAAAGACGCAAATTAACCCGGCGCTCACTTCGACGTGTTTTTTTTTAAATATCAAGATATGGTATATCATTTCTGTTGTTGTTGTTGTTGTTGTTGTTGTTATTGTTGTTTTTGTTGTTGTTGTGTTGTTTGTTTGCGGTTTGTTTTGGTTATTTTTTCGATTGTTTTTTTTTGGGGGGGAGGGTATTACTTTTGTTGTTATTGTTTTTATTTAAAGGATTGTTGTTATTTCAACTTTCAAATCTGAATGATAGATATCCAGATTTTTTTGGTTTACTAACCAATGGTGGATTTGTTACTTCGGGGAAAACTTGATAACACAAAAAGAGTTTCTCTCTATTTTTGTGAGCTATGATAGGTCGTAACCAGAAAATGTCACAATACCTCAGTCAGACCTAATATCATTATCCTTGTATAGGAAATCGGTTTTCCCATTTTAAGAAGCGCACTATTTCAAAGTAAATAGCTTTGATCATTCCGAAATGTGCTGCAGGGGAATCTTGCCGCCGAGCCGTTAGACCGTTAGAACAAATCGATGTGCAATTCTAGATCTCCAGATGCTGTCTTGACATCTGTATTCTACCCCGGGAAGAAAGTAATCCAGCGGGAGCTACATAGATCAATTTCCATCTGAGTCAAGGGTTGAAAAACCCGGGGGGGGGGTCTGGTGTCGGGATGGTGCCCTGATTCTTTAGACTTACAAATTACGTACATTAAAATGTTGTAGCACTCATTTTTCAGAGACATTACGCGTGGTTAGTGAAGGCTTTGAAGTTAACATGACAAACATAAATAGATCTAATGCCCGGCAACCTTTCCTACCTTCACATAAAAATTTTGATGTTTCGATTATTGAAATGAAGAGATGTAACCAGAATGTCTTCCCATCCCTCGTTCTTAAATGTGTGATTTTGTTGTTTTGTTTTGTTTGTTTGTTTGCTTTTGGGGGGGGGGAGGGGTTGTCTTTTTTTAAATTTTATTTTGTTGTTATTGTTTGTGTATTTTTTTAAGGGTTTTGTTTTAGGGAAGGGGGGTGTCGTTCTTTATTTACATAAAAACTGGGGAAATGTGTGACTATCACAAACAGCAAACTGATTTTAAAATCAGATCATAGAGCCCTATCCTGGATCTTCCTCTGTGCCTGCTTTCTAAATAATCTACTAAAGCGTGTCTACAGCAGCCAGAAACATGAGATTCTATGGGAATTAATCGTGCTTTGTGCTCAAGAAAGTTATGAGATATCATCCAGATAGAAGGCCAACAGTCATGGTCAGTGTGACAGGCTCTCGGTGTGCGGGCGATCCCTTTATTTTTTTTCAAAATTACAGTTTACTTCTAGCCGGGGAGGGGGGGGTCATTTTATTTTCAAAGATATACAACTGCACTGCTTTCACCCCAAGATCAAAGGTTTAAACGTTGCTCATAGCAGTGCAACATTTTTGGTTTGTTCGATATAAATTCTCTTTGGATTGAGTAGTTGCGTACAACTTAAACATTGGATCGTAAAAGCCTAGAAATTTCACATGAGAGAATTATCAAATCGTTAGGATTTCAAGAGTTATTACATGTACTGTCATTATTTTACGTCCTGATGCCGTGAAACGTAGTGCTGCGTATATCTCTTCATTTTCCACATGATCACGTCTAAAAGGTTAAGATGCTTCAACAACTCGTTTTAAGAATACGTTCAGGTTTTCAAACAACGTAACGACACTCAAAATACCCCCGTTTATGTAGAAACTACCCCAGAAAATCGAGGCAATGAATAGAGAGATTTTGAGGGGCTGTCTTGAGACTCCCCACCCACCACCCCCAAACCTTTCCCTTTCTCCATTTTCGAGTTCATCAATATAACCCAGAAATATCAGCTGTTGTTCTCCGCCCTTACTCCCTTCTTTCTCTCTTTCTCTCTTTCTCTCTTTCTCTCTTTCTCTCTTTCTCTCTCTCTCTCTCTCTCTC